CAAAATGACCTTTATATAACATTTGAGGAGGCCTAGGGGAGATTTAAAATAAAATAAGTGTTCAGCCTATTGGAGGCTTATTTTGCTTCTTATTTCTGTTTAAAAAGGTCAGCTTAAGAACATAAGCAGTGCCTTGTTGGATCAGACCCCTGGCCCATCCAGATCAGCAATCTGTTCTCACCGTCAGCCAACCAACCGTACAAGGAAGCCCACTAGACTTGCAGATTTATTTTAATTTAATTTCATTGTACGAGAAGTACAATGACAATAAAGATTAAAGATTAAAGATTAAAGATCTGCCTTCAGAAGCAGTCACATTGCCATCAAAGCTTATAGCCATTCATCCCCATGACTTCCATGAATTGGTCCAACCTATTCTACAATTCCAAAATTTAATTATACATTATATAAAAAAAGCATTCCTTTGTCCTCATTCTTCCAGGATTCAATTGCATTGTATTGACCACTGGCTCTACTATTTCGGGAAGGGGAAAACAGCTTTTCCTTGTAAACTTTATCTACACCATACATAATTTGTGCACCTTAATCATGTCCCCTCTCATTTGCCTTTTCTTATAGGAAAACTGCTCCAGACTCTTGATTATCTTAGTTGTTCTCCTCTGAACACAGTATTCCAGGTGCACCATTGATTAAGGGCATTATGTTGTTGGCATAATCTCTTTCCTCGTCAGTCAATGCTAGCTCTGATCCCATTAGCTTATATGAGTAGTTAGGATTTTTGGTATCAACATGCATCACTTTACACTTGCTCACATTGGATGACATCTGGTATTTTGATACCCACTCTTCCATTTGGAGCTCTTCACAGTCCTCTATTGTTTTTACTACTCAGAACAATTTATATCCTCAGCAAACTTGGTGATTTCACTAGTCATGCCCGATTCCAGACCATATATGTTAAAAAGCATTTGTCCTAGGACAGAACCCTGGGGGAGTTCTAGTTCTAGTTACTTTCCTCCATTGTGAGATGTGTCAAGAAAAAAAAAGATGAAACATAAAGCACTGAACATGAGTTCTGACCTGTCATGTGCTGTGCTGTCTTTTGAGTGACAGAAGCATTTACCTGAAATGCTTACCTTCCACAAAGAAGGCAATTCAAATGCTATTTCTAAAGTCATGACAAGCTGTATCATGATAATTCCTGTTCCCTTCCTTGACCAGCTTCCCATAAACACAACTGAAGCATCTAGGAAAAGTGGCTTTCATCACATTTGTGTCAATCCTTTACAGATCACAGGCTTATGAAATGTGAAATTCTGAAGAATTTCACCTGCCAGTTATCAGACAGTGTGTGTGTGTGTACCTATGTTTTGTTCATTACACAAATGACAAGGTGTATCGTTAAGAAAGAATTTCCAGAAGGCTATGTCAGAGAAGAATGTAACCAGTGTGTGCTGAGATAAGTGACACAGAAAAATGCTTAAGTTAACTGATTTCCTGCATCCGTCGCATTCATTTGACCAAGAGTAAAACAAGAATACAAGAATGTAATTTATTAATACGATTTTTTTAGGCAATAAGGAACAAAGCCTCTCTGTAACCTGATCAGCACCTAATAAGCACTGGATTTCTCAATTAGGCTATGCAATGACCACAGACAATTATATAACATCTGAGATAAACCCTTAAATTCTGTTCAAATCTCTACTTTGATCCCATCTTTGAATCAGATAGTGAATACCATGTCAGACTTTGACCAGGGAGACAGGACTTGAAATCAGAGGGCAGCTTAAAGCTGAAAGTAAATCTAAATCAGTCACCAAGATCTGGCTCTACCTATTTGTCAGGGCTGTAATGAGCAAGGGAAAAGCCCTTGTAAAATTCCTTGGAAGAAATGAAGGATGACGGCAAAATGAATAAATACATAAATTATGAAAAAGAACAAGTATTCACAGAGAAACCCAGGTCAAATTTAAATGCTTAAAAAGACGCAAAACTGTTCCTGCTGAACACCCTAAATTTACATGATTAAGACAAGCAGAAGAGAGTGTTACAAATACGGCTGTGTTCCTCTGGGCAATACTAGGTTCACAAAGGCAGCAAATCCAACTCTGCATGCTAAAATTTTACTAGAGCAAGTGACAGTCAGTATGAGGCCTTGTTGTGATTTGATGGTAAGGAGCTTGAATAATCAGTTTTGTCCAAATGCAAAGCTTCTAAAATTACTGCAATTGTACAGTTTTCTTTCCATTCATTTCAAAGAGATTTGACTTAAGAAATTTATTTGCACCTTTAAAATATATAAAGGATGTTATAACAGCAATGCTTGCTGGATTATTTCCTTAAAATATAAGGAGACTCAATGTTATATTTATTTTCTATCTTTGACAGATTTAGCATGTAAACGGTGTCATTTCACAAAATAGTTGGTACAGATTTATCCAAATTTATTTATTTATTTATCCAAATGATTCTACTTGAATCACTTCTTTTAACAACTCTATTACTTTATGTATGAGACTGCAGTGCAAATCAAATGTATGCTCTGCAGCAGATATTAAGCAAGCAGAGGGTTGCATATGTTCCCTGGGTTCTCATTTTGCACTTGTGAAAGTTTCAAAAGATATTAAACAATATTTTATTCAAGTTTCTAGAGTAGCATAAAGAACAATCTAAAGGTATAACAATATAAACTTAAGCCAGCCTACAACTAGTCACTGCCTGGATGATCGACTACTTCATAATACTATTAACTGCATTTTAAGTTGCACAATATTAGAAAGGCAGGATACAAGAGTTAACATTACAGGCCATTTGTAACCAGAGCAAAGGAAGTGGGTTTCATCTAGATTGGTGCTTCTCAACCTTGGCCACTTTAAGATGGGTGGACTTCAACTCCCAGAATTCCCCAGTCTGCCCATCTTAAAGCGGCCAAGGTTGAGAAACACTGATCTAGATGATGTTAAATCACACATTTAGGTTCCGTGGAAAGCAGTGGACAATGTAGACTAAGCGTTAAACTAGCATCTGTTTATATATTTAACATCTTTTGATTTTTTTTATCTTTAAAAACATTTTCTTTAAAATATACTAGCTGCTATGAGTATTCTGTGAATGAAAATGTGAATTAAAAACTAACTAGGTTGTGATTCAACCTAAATGGCACTGAATCCAGTTGGAACTGTATAGTTAAGCGTGAATTTAAGACCCCAAGCTTAGCTTTATGCCCCTTCCCACTAGCTCTTCCACCAGCTTCAGTGTCTCATTTCAGGAATCTTGAACTGGAAATTATACCCTCCATCTCTGGATCACCTTCTGAAATTCTGATGCTTTCTGCAGTTAGGCCTAGTAGTTGAATGGCTATGTATTTTATAAACAGATCTAAAGAATCTAAAGCAAGAACTACAAACAGCTGATGACGGGCTTCACTTTTTGCACCCTTGAGCTAGAGAATATATTTGCTGAAAAGGCACTGTGAATTTTTTAAAGAGAACAGGGAGATTGAATCTATGGTCATATTATACCAAATGATATCCATATATTATGTCCATACTCTCCCCAGAATATGAATAGGAGACAAAAGTTAATATTATCCTATTAATAGGGTAATATTAATCCATTCATTAGAGTAATATTAACCTAACGTTATAAACATACTAAGGCTGAACCACAAGGATAATCACATTTCAGGAAGCAAAAGAATTAATTTAATGAGCAAGAAAAAGAGGAAAGGAGCATAAATGTTCTTGCCTTTTATTAATTGGGAAAATCATAAGGCTTCTATGAATTCCCTTTTGAGAAAAAAAAATCTAATATATATAAAATATTATAGCAATTCCCTGTTAACTGCAAAAGATATTCTAAAACAAGATTATAGCTCTTAGAGATATGAATACTTGGAAATAAAGAAACGAACTTAAACAAATATATGTATGATTCATTTTCAGCTAAGTCACATTTGGCTCTTTTTAAAAAAATAAACATTTGAAAATGGAAGCCAGCCAAAAGAGGAATCAAAGGTACTGTTCCTGCATAATTTAAGCATTAGCAGGGCCCAAAATAATTGAACTCACATACTAGGGTATGTTTTAAAACCTTGGAAATCAAAATTTATTAAAGTAATAATATGATAAGCACTTTTAACAGGGGACTCCCAAACTGATCCATACATGAGGCATGTATATGAATGTATGAAAAGGTAGCCTAAACACAGTGAAACACTAAAAGGCATTTAGTTCATTTTTTAGTTGGGGAACTTCCTTAGATTTAATGACATGATCTCTGTTAAAAATATTCAGTTTTTGCTTCCTTTTTAATAGCTGCAGGCCATACTGAGTTTGAGATGCTAAGGAATAATATGACCAATAGTTGTTGTCCCCCCCCCCCAAACGATAAGACTGTTGAAGCAATATTTAATCAAGGTGCTGGCATGAACCACAGTCCCTTCAGAAGCACATGGCTGCAGATCTTTTTAATGCAAAGGATCTTACTTATGGTCCCCCATTGCTTCTATCTTGATTAGAACAGCAAATATGTAAGTGTTCAACCTTCTCTTCTCCTTTGGACCCTTTCCCACAACCTGCACTCTTAGCAAAGGGCACCCAAATAGCAGATTATAATGAAAGAAGGAATCAAAACTATTGAATGTTTCCAGTGAAGTATTGATTTTCGGAAATGCGAGGGATAGTAATGAGAGTCCTGCCTGTTACTGTATCCATTTCCTTTGAGCCTAAATAGACAGAGATGACAGTCAAAGACTACAAATGGGATTAAAGGAGTGAGAAGGGAACGGATTATTTCTGCACACACAAGCTAAGCTCTCTTGGGTTCCCCTACTTTTTCCCCCTTTAAATACGCGGTTGGGGATATTAATGGTGTGGGCATTGGATAGATGATATCCTTATAAATGTGAAGTTTTACCAAAAATAATAATAATAATTAAAAAAAATCAAGAAAAATATTTTATAAACAAAGAAACAAAATCCTGCTACTGTCCTGTGCATGCTTAAGGAAATGGTTATATCCAGCTAGGTACTTACAAGTAATAGGAGTAGGAATATGCATTTCTTCTAAATATGCAGTCAGATGAAGGAAATGTCCAAAAGTGGGGAAGAAGGAAAAAAGCATAATTAGACTTCATATCAAGGATTTTAAATTTGAACTGTACATAGTATTGCAGAGCTGTCTCTACTACCAAATTTGCTTTGATCTCCCCTAGTTTTTGAATACTGCTCTAAAGTCTGATTGCTAATTTCCTCAAACAGGAATGTCTGTACATGATAAGTACAACTGCTACTAAGGTTTTGTATAGTCCTGGGCAAGTCACTTCACAATGCTTTGCGTTCCTCACCAAACAATAACAATACCTACCGATTATTGTAGAGCAGTTTTAAGCCTGTTTAGGCATAAAGAAGAACAAAAATTTAGAGGTAACTAAGGTCTAAAATTAAGATTGAAAGTTCATTAGCAAGCTTTAGAGGATTGAAGAAGGGGCTATTCATGATCTTGGCAGCAACAATGGTTGCACTCCATACATCAGTACACATACTTTATCGCATCTAATTTTTACTTGCAAGATACTAGAATAGTCAGGAAATATATTTACTTTGACTCTCTTTAAATGTCACTGCAGAGCCAAATCACACTACAGAGAAGCCAATCACATTAGACCACATGACATCATTTGGAGCCAAATCAGTGGAAGAGCAAAATTCTATATTCTCACTTGGATGAAGAGAGAAAGCAACCGGGGAAGGGCGGGGGGTGGGGGGACATGACAGGACAGTGACTAAAAACAGAAAGAAGAACAATCATACAATAAGAATGGACTTACTACATGAATAAACAGTTTGCAAGGCTGTCCCAAAAATAATCAAGGGAAGGAGCAATGTGAAAACAGCAAGATGAAGTAATGGATGTTTTGGCTGAGCCCCACTAAGTACAAGTTGATAATTCATTTCATTTCTTATGTATTCCAATAATGGAATTGCTTTTGCATATGAAAATGTAATAAATAAGCTCTGCACTTCTTAATTCATAATTACGTGTTCTAGACATAAATGCCACCTCTATGAGTAAGCTGATGTAGAATAACTTGCTGGGAAGAGTATTGGCAAAGATTCAAACAATGTCAAAGACACTTGTAGCCAGTTATATACATATACATATTTAATCTGGGCATTTGTAAATCTCGGATTCACAATTAAACCTGAGTTGTCATGCATTATGAACACACATGCAAACACATCTTGAATATCCCACTGATATATTAGCTCCTTGGAGCATTAAAATATCAGTTCTTATGTGTCTCTCAAACCACCTATGAGACATACAAAACAGCTACAGAACATGGGTTTTGTCAAACCACTAGAGTGTACACACATAGCTTAAAATAGTAAATCGGTGGTCATACTAGGAAAGAATTTGGCATGATTTATATTCCCTTTCCTCTCTGCAGTGAATTTTATTGGAGCTATACATGAATAGGACTGGCAATTCTGCATAAGCACTTTGGAACTGCGCTCAAGTACAGCCAGTGAACACAGTGCATGCTATAATCTGCTTTAGAAATAATCTCTCTCAAAAACTCCTAGCATTCAATTTCTTCCCTTGCTGATGATATATCATATTCTTCCCACTTAATCATTAACCTCTTGAAGTTCATCCATTCATACTGGAATGTTACACCTCAAAGTCACCTTGTAAAACAAGGTACAAGTTGTTCTCTCTTGACAAATGTGTCATGTACTGTTACAGGCAATGGACAAAAGCAAAAACTATACGATGAAATACGATGACCTAAACTTAATGTTTTAACACACTGAAAATATTACTACAGTTTCAAGAGCTATGATTATTGGTGGTTCTTGCATATCAGCAATTGGTATCTAAAACATCTTTGCAACCAACTAACCAACCACTGCTCTAAAGTCAGAAAAGAGCCTTAAACGATTTTTCAGGTAAACAGGGATGGGATTTCTTAGCAAATTGATTAATTTATCTTTGCTCTCCAATCCATCCTCCTGAATTTCAATTTAACTAAGACAATTTGTAAAACTAAGACTAGAAGTAATTAAAACATGCATAGTTTGCTACAGTTTTTGGTTCCTTTATCCTTTCTCTTCTCTGTGTTATCAGCATGCACATGTCCAGTGGTTACAAACACTGGAAATAACCATGTTAATTATATTTTAATGATGTACACATTCATTATTGCAAGTGCCACAGAAAAGAACTCTTAAAATAAATGTATTACATACACCTCAATTGATTTTGATATACATACACACCACATAGAAAGTATTCTGTTACAATTACACATGTGAAACTCCTTGTTAATGTTTTATAAATGTTCATATGAAAATAAAATGAAGCAAAGATATGAATGAACTGAAGGCACTGTGAGACAAAACAAATGTGATATACTCAATAATCTAGTTTTTTTAAAAAAAATTAAAAAATTAACCATGGGACAATGAGGAATACCCGAATAAGCTGGTTCCATTTTCAATATATAATTAAATAGTTTGGAATTCCAAATCTTTTACTCTTTAAAAGTAAAAATGGAAGAATATCACTAGACTGATCCAGATTAAATGATTTATGGGCACCAGATAGGGCTAATAATGTATTTCTCATGCATACGGTTCAGAGTAAAAATCAATTTTGTTGCTGTCTTTTTATCTCTTGTCTGTTTTGCAATGGCTGAGCTATTCCTGGACTACAGACAACTGTTCCTTCTCTTCTTTCCAAGCTCTCTTGCAAGTGAGAATCACATAGAATATACATAAATTTCCATTCCATCCTCCTGAATGGAACATCTCTACTCCCTGAATACTGGAAATGATAAAATGGAATGTTTCTATATCTGTTCTGACTATTAGGATTGCAAGAGGTAAATTGGGAAAAATATGGTGATATGGAAACATTGGATGGAAGCGGGGATATTGACTTTGGACCAGTTGATAGATGATGATGATGAATTTTTAACATATGCTGTGTTAAGAGATAAATATCATCTATCAGATGTAA